ATCTTAGAACGTGCATGGGCTTTTTGACCACACTGATAACAAGACAAGGGCTGGCCCCTGCCCTGACTCTGGCTCTGCGGTCTAGCTGAAGATGAAGCAGCTCTCTGACCTCCTCCCCTCTGTGGGCAAACCGAAGCCTTGTGGCCCAGCTGACCACACTTGAAACAGGTGAAATCTCCTTGATTGCCTCTCTCCGAGCCTGCACTCGGCACTGGAAAGGTCGATCTAGCAACACCCTCATGAGACTGCTGAGGGTTAGCACCCCTCTGTCTCCTGCCATCACCCTGACCATCCTGGTTCCTCTTGGAGCCTCTCTGTCCCTCCTCCTCATGCATCATGATCTCCATATGGGCTGCAGCATCAACCAAGCGCCCATAGTCTCGGATCATGGAACCCCCAACTCTCATCTTGAGGCCGCGCCTCAACTTCTTCTCAAACTCTATACAGCGGCGTTCCTCAGATGCCTCAAGTTCAGGTGCGAACCTGGACAAGCTAGTAAAAACAGCCTCATACTCGGCCACTGAAGAACTCAACTACAAAAGCTGGCAGAACTGGTCTCTCAGCTTCTTCCTGACTGCTGGAGATAGGTACTTCTCCTGAAAAGCCTCCACAAAATCCTCCCACGTGCCAGCAATGCAGCCCCTCATGTATTTCTACCACTGACCCGCACCCCCTTTAAGCTGGAAGGATGCCAAGGTCACTTTCAACGCCCCGCCATCTCGAATGTCTTACTCAACTGCTCCAGCCACTCGTCAGCCTTAAGTGGCTCCTTTGGATCCCCAATAAACTCATCCGGGTTAGACCGGAAGAACTCCCTCTTCAAGAAGGAAGGCCCTGCCTCAAAGAGAGTACTAACTCTATACAAAGCAAGCCCTTGGCTTGATATACATGTAATACATCAAAAGGAAATAAAACAACAGAAACAGTCTGTTTGCCTCTAGCCTCCCAAGCTATGTCCTTGGAGGTGGCATACTACCTGTACCTGAAAATGATGTCCCATAAAGGGTGAGCCACAACCCAGTAGAAATATACTAAATCAACTATAAGTAATGCCTAAAATAATAACATTCACTAGATGGTCCACATTTGTATTCCAACGTATGTCATATTACAGTTTTATGACAATCATGCCCATGGCACACTTCAGTTTCCATTTCTTATTCAACTTTGAGTTTGAAAACAAGGCTTAGAACCTAGCCAAATAACTTAATGAGGTTAAGACTCATCTTTAAAACCCTTTCGAAATTCATGATGGATACATATTTTGGTGCTGTATCAATAACACATAGAAACACTTCTATACTTCACAATTGATAACAATATACATTTTAGTGCTATATCAAATCAATTCAAACACTTCCATAATCCACACTTGATACACATTGTAGAGCTGTATCAATGTCACACAAAATCCGGTTTAGAGGTCCATCCCCTATCTTCCCCTAAACCGTGGAGTATATCCCCTATCTCCTCCCCCACACAATGTATATAAACATAGATCATATACATAGTCAATTAATACATAAAGTTAATGTATTATTCCAATTGCTATTCTCGATAGCATACTCAATCGATTAGTTTTAGTTTGCCTAATCATCATGCATTGTCTATAACAATCAAGACTATCCTCCACCGATAGCCCAAAGCAGTTATTTCTAAACAGAAAATAAATGCACCACATGGATAAAATATCAACATTTCAACTAGGTGAGTGATAAATGATCCAACTACACCCTTTGATCCCATACGTTCCCAATTTCAACATTCTCAATTCAACTTCCCATTTCTCAAAATTAATTTTACAAATTAATTCATCAATGTAATTAGGGCATTTCCCATAATTAACAAAACAACCCTAAGGTTCCATTTCTATCAATAACCCAACCTTTATCTATTTTTCCATGCTAAACATGCATATAGGCTTATATAATTAAAACCCCATCTTTTGTAAAATTACACAAAGACCCAAGCTTTCTCAAAATTTACCCAACAATCCCCAACATATCAAAATGCTAAAATTTAAAGACAAAGCTCATAAGGAGGAGTAGGATATCCCTACCTCAAAGTTAGAGCTCAAATGGAGAAGAAGACCAAAACCAAAGTGCTCCAAACTCCAAACTTTTCGGATCAAAACGAAGCCCTCGACGATCAACACGCCTTTTACAAAGGCCGAAGGATAGGAGAACACTCTAACTAGATAAAACCCTAGAGAGAAGGGAAATCCTAGAGAGAGAGGCTCTGAAAAGTGTTTTTAGAAAGTAAGAGAGAGAGAGAGTGAATATAAAAAGTGATTCAAAAATGCCCAGCTGCCCACTGATATACGACATTCCCGCTCGAGCGGAGAATAGAACGCTCGAGCGTCAAGAACAAAAATCCGGACATGCTCGAGCTCCAAGACACAAAAATAAAATACATCCGCTCGAGCGTAAAAAACCAGTCTGCTTGAGCGTAGATTTCCCCCTCCTAGAACTTTCACAGACAAAGCACTACCCGCTCGAGCGCCAACATACCCGCTCGAGCGCGACCCGCTCGAGCGTAGGAAACCCGCTCGAGCGTGAAAAACACACCTGCAGAAGTTTTGTAGGGACACGAGATATTGGGAGTGTGTAAATCCCGCTTGAGCGCAAGAAGGCCCGCTCGAGCGGAAAACCAAAAAACAAACTCCGCTCGAGCGCAGAATGATCCGCTCGAGCGTAACACCAAAAACCTGGGCAACTACACTTGAGACCAAAACTCAACCTACCTGTTCAGAACACGCCCAACACATCCTATAACTCAAATACAAGGTACGAAAGGATGTAAACAAGATATAAACAACTGCTAACATCCACAGAACCAAGTCCGGATCACTGTACAACAAGGGGTAAAACCCAGAATCGCTATACTCTCTGATTTGGAGAGAGCCTCTGCTCCTATCTCCTACAGATCTCTTCCATGCTTCCTATCTCGGATGTCTTCACCTGTTATGCTTGAACTTGTGTAACCAAGATATCCTACACCCCCTGATTGGATGTCCTGCACCCCCTGCTGGGATGCCCTTGACTATCATGCCTTTGCCCTCGGTCCATAGTGATCGATCAACACTGCCTTGCACCTGAAGGTGCTCAGTTCCGAGAGATGTTGACCAAGTCCAAACAATGTTGAAACTTGATCCCAGAAACCACTTTTGTGAGCATATCGGCCGAATTATCTGCAGTACTAATCTTTTGAAGCAGAATATCGCTTTCATTCACAATTTCTCGGATGAAATGGAAATAGACATCAATGTGCTTGGTGCAGGAATGATGAACCTGGTTCTTTGCCAAACAAATGGCACTCTGACTGTCACAGAACACCTCAATGTGCTTCTGAACAATACCCAAGTCCTCAATTAACCCATGTAGCCAAATACCTTCCCTAAAGGCTTCTATCACTGCCATGTACTCTGCCTCTGTTGTAGACAAAGGCACTGTTGGTTGAAGTGTTGACCTCCAACTCACCGGCCCTTTAGCAAGTGTAAATAAATACCCTGTTGTTGATCGGCGTTTGTCCAAGTCACCAGCATAATCTGAGTCCACATATCCAACCAAATTATGTCCGAGTCTATGATCTCTCTCGAACTTTAAACCCATATTAATTGTGCCATGTAAGTACCTCAAGACCCACTTCACTACCTGCCAATGACCTTTTCCTGGATCATGCATATATCTACTTACCATACTCACAGCATGTGAGATGTCAGACCTTGTACAAATCATAGCATACATTAATGCACCAACTGCATTTGCATACGAAACCTGTGCCATATGCTCTCGTTCTTCTTCTGTGTGTGCAGACATCGAAGCACTAAGCTTGAAATGAGGGGTCAATGGTGTGCTCACAGCTTTTGTTTTTCCATTTATGCTAAATCTGTCTAATACTTTTTTCAGATACTAGGTTTGTGTCAGACAAACCGTACCCTTCTTCCTGGTCTCTTTTGATCTCCATGCCAAGAATTTTCTTTGATTTGCCAAGATCTTTCATTTCGAACTCTCCTGCCAACTGTGCCTTGAGTTTGTCAATCTCCACATTGCTCTCAGATGCAATTAACATATCATCCACATATAAGAGCAAATAGATGAAGGAACCATCTGGAAGCTTACGGAAATATACACAATGATCAAATTGACTTCTTGTGTATTCTTTCTCTATCATGAACCGATCAAATCTTTTGTACCACTGTCTCGGGGATTGCTTCAATCCGTACAACGATTTGTTCAGCTTACAGGCCCAATTCTCTTTTCCAGCAACTTTGAAACCATCTGGCTGGGACATGTATATCTCCTCTTCAAGATCTCCATGTAAAAAGGCAGTTTTGACATCGAGTTGGGCGAACTCGAGATCAAACTGTGCAACCAATGCTAGCAAGATACGAATAGACGTATGCTTCACAACAGGTGAGAATACCTCATTGTAGTCTATTCCTTCCTTCTGGGCATAGCCTTTAGCTACCAATCTAGCTTTGAATCTGATGTTGTCTTTGCCTGGAATGCCTTCCTTCTTGGTGTAAACCCACTTACACCCAATTGCTTTCTTGCCTTTTGGAAGTTGCACCAACTCCCAAGTCTGGTTCTTGTGAAGTGACCCGATCTCTTCATCCATAGCCTCCTTCCATTTGACACTTTCTACATTATGCACGGCTTCTTTGAAAGTGCAAGGAACACTCTAGGGTTTCAATCTCTGATTTAGTGTCTTATTTTTGGTCTCTTGACAAATTATATACTTTCAGCTTTGATTTTTTTTCTTCTTGTAACAGATTTGTTAAGATTGAACAAATCTTGGCTTTGAATTTTGTTGTTGTTCTTGTTTTTGTTCATGCTTTTGTTATTTTTGTTGTTGTTGATGATGATGATGATGATAAAACAGATCTGTGTGTATGTATAAAAATTTAAGCAGATAAAGATACAAATTTGAACACAAAGAAAATTTGAACAAGTAACTTTTTTTAACAGATACCTTTTTTTAACAGATAAAAAATTAAATATATAAAATATTTGAACAAATAGATTTGAACTAATAAGTAAAAAAAATTGAACAGATAATAAAATTTGGATAGATATTTGAATAGATAAGGAATTTTAACAAATAGATATACCAATAGAGAGATGAAGAAACTCATAGATTTTAAACAGATAGAGAGAAAAGCTCACAGATTTTGAATAGATAGGGTAAAAAAATTGAACAGGTAGCAAAAAAATGAATAGACAGGGGAAAATTTTGAACAGATAGGAAACATTTTGAACAAATAGTTCATTGTGTAAATCCAAACTCTTCTTGAGAAATCATCAATGAACAACACAAAGTAGTGTTTACCTCCCAATGAAGCATTCTTGGAAGGACCCCATACGTCGTTGTGAACGTAGTCTAGAATCCCTTTGGTATGATGAATAGCAGTACCAAACTTGATTCTTGTTTTCTTGCCCAGTATACAATGCTCGCAGAACTCAAGCTTCCCTGTTTTGGTGCCTTTCAATAGGCCTTGCTTTACCAATCCTTGTAAAGCCTTGTCACCGACATGCCCTAGGCGCATGTGCCAAAGTCTGGAGGTGTTTAATACATCATCTTCTGAGCTGGTGGAGACAGCCACTCTCCCTGTGACTATAGAGCCATCTAGAAAATATAAATTTCTCTGTTGAGTACCCTTCATTACAACAAATGCTCCTCGAACAACTTTGAGGACTCCACCTTCCATAGTTACTTTGTAACCTTTGGAGTCTAAAACTCCCACTAAGATGAGATTCTTTGTCAAAGCTGGTACATACCGAACATCTTCAAGAATTTTGATTGTTCCATCATGTATCTTCAGTCGAATTGTTCCAATCCCCTTTGTCTGGCAAGCTTGGTCGTTGCCTATCTGCACAACTCCTCCATCGAACTCTCGTAAGCTCGAGAACCACTGCTTGTTCGGACACATGTGGTAGGAACATCCAGAATCTATAATCCATTCATCAGACTGGCCATATGATGAAACTGTGAAGGCTGATCCTTCACTATTATCTCCATCTCGTGCAACGTTCACATTTTCTTCTTTCTTGTCTTTATTGGGACAATCTTTTGCCCAATACCCCATCTAGCGACAAGCAGCACACTCGTCTTTTGCAAGACGTCTTCTATCCGATGATTTCCCTCTAGATTTTGAGCAAGACTTTCCTCGCCCTGTATATCTCCTGTTATTTGTTCTGCCTCTGACTGTCAATGCCTCGGATGTTGAGTCCCTATTTGCAGATTTATCTTTCTTTCTAAACTCATTATTTACGAAGGCGTTTGCAACATCAACATACTTGATCTTTTCTTTACCGTACAGTAAAGTGGTAGTGAGATGATCATATGAGTCAGGCAAGGAATTCAACAATAACAGTGCTTTATCTTCAGCACCAATATGATCATCCAAGTTCTTCAAATCGGTGAGAATTCTGTTGAAATTGTTTAGGTGTTCATTCATCGAAATACCTTTCTTGTAGTCGAAACGAAACAACCTCTTCTTCAAGTAGAGCTGGTTCTCAATGCTCTTTGTCATGAACTTATCTTCCAACGCCTTCCAAAGCTCCTTCGCAATATCATATTCTATGAAGGCGTACTTCTCCTCTTTTGCAAGGAAAAGTCGGACGGAACCACAGGCTAGGAGATTCACCTTCTCCCATTCTATCCTGTCCAGGTCATCTGGTTTGTCTCCCAGAGGAAAGTGCAGGTTCATCTGGACAAGCATATCTTTAACTTCGCATCACCACATGCCGAAGTTGCTGCTTTCATCAAACTATTCTACCTCGAACTTAGCATGGGACACTGGGGTCCAATGCCTAGAGTTGCTTGTAGTCGTTGGATTACTTATGGAGTCGGTTGATCTGGTCTTTGTAGATTCTGCCGTTAAACTTTTTTTTTTTTAGAAACTCCGATTCAAAAAATTGACCTTATGGATATGTCCAGAATACTCCAAATAGTTGGAAAACACTATTGGATCGTCAAAAACGAACTCCGAATGACTTAGATCTGGCCAAAACAGTTTGGACGGTTTAGATCTGTAGGTGTTCCTTAGTCGCGAAGCACCGGATAACTCTCTGCCCCTGTGTTGACTGGTCAACGGAAGGCTGACGTGGCAAACACGTGGCTGATACGTGTCTGGCTGTCTGACACGTGTCACTGACGTGGCAGATGACGTGGTGCTGATGTGGCATTGACGTGGCGCTGACGTGGCGATGGCATGGCGCTGACGTGGTGATGACGCGGCGCTGACGTGGCGCTGACGTGTCTCATCTTCTTCCTGTAGACGCGCGTAAGCGCGTGGTATGATGCGCCGATGTGCAACCGGCGCGTGGCGGCGCATGGTGAGAGTGGGATTCACTATCTTCCTTCTTTTGGCGCGTGAGGGTGCGTTGCTGGTCCGTTTGGCCTGTGGTTTGAAGTTCTGGACTCCTCTTTTCAAGGGCTTCCTCCTGGTATGCTCAAAAGTGAATTTCAGTCACTTCAAAATCTGGGCACTTTCGAAAAAAATTTGATTTTTCACCACTTGAGCACTGATACCAATTGTTAGGATCGGGGGCACACCAGGAAACACACACAAGCAATAACACAAGATATTTAACGTGCTTCAGCAAGTCGCCTACGTCCACGGGCAACGGATTTCACTATATGGAGAAATGGAAGAATTACACAATTCACTCACTCTCTATATTCTCTCTTGAACTCACTACTCACCACATTAAACTCTGCTCTCACCCTCTCTATATATACACATTACAGATGAAGGTGGAGAGGCTGGCCTTGCACATGGCCAACTCATTTCTTCTCCTTTCGGTGGCCGTCTTCACTTTTTACGGCTTGTCGGTTGGCAGCCGCAATCCTTGACATGCTGCAGCTGACTTCAGTTCGTGTGTTCCCATTGTTGTGAATCACCCCTCACATGGGGTGATATCAACAAATCACCCCCTCAACCCATGTGAGGTGATCTATTGCACACACTGCTGCTAATCTTGTCAC